CCCCATAACACTTTTGGGGTGTCCCCCCCACCCTAAAAAAAAAGAAAGTGCCGGGGGGCCCCCCAGGCTCACCCCCTCCCTCGTTCTGTGCAGGGCATCCCAACATGGGGGGCCCGATGCAGCGCATGAACCCCCCCGGGGCATGGCCGGCATGGCGCCCCAGGTGAGGGGGGTTGGGATTGGGATTGGGGTTGGGATTAGGATGGGGATGGGGATGGGGATGGGTGGGGTTGAGATTGGGATTGGGGATGGGAATAGGATTGGGGATGGGATTGGGATGGGGATGGGATTGGAGATGGGGTGGAGATGGGATTGGGATGGGGGGTGAGGACAGGATTGGGATAGGGGGCAGGATGGGATTGGGATGGGATTGGGATGGGATGGGATTGGGATGGGGATGGGATTGGGGATGGGATGGGATTGGGATGGGGTGGGGACAGGATTGGGATAGAGGGCAGGATGGGATTGGGGATGGGGATAGGATGGGGATTGGATGGGTTTGAGATTGGGGTTGGAATGGGATAGGGATGGGGTTGGGGTTGAGATTGGGATGGGAACGTGGTTGGGATGGGATGGGGATGGAGAATGGAATGGGAATGGGGTGGTGGGGGGGTGGTGGGATGGGATTGAGATTGGGATGGGATTGGGAATGGGATTGGAGGGATGGGATAGGGTTGGGATTGGGATGGGGAATGGGAACAGGGATGGGATTGGGATGGGATGAGGTTGGGATGGGGATGGAATGGGATGGGAATGGGGTTGGGATGGGATTGGGATGGGGATTGGGTGGGGTTGAGATTGGGATAGGATTGGGATTGGGATGGGGAATGGGAACAGGGATGGGGATGGGATGGGGATGAGGTTGGGGTTGGGATAGGGAATGGGGTGGAATGGGGATGGGGACGGGGAAGGGGATGGGCTGGGGGGGCGTCCCGGCCCCCCTGAGCCCCCCTGAGCCCCCTCTCAGCCTCCCATTTCCCCCCAGACCTACGGCAGTGGGATGCGCCCCCCCCCAGCTCGCTGGCCGGCCCCGGCATGCCCACCATGAACATGTAAGGGTCTGCCCCCCCCCCAAAAAAAATATCCCCCCCCCAGCTCCCTGGGAGCCAGACATGGCCCGGGGGGGGGAGCAGAATTTATTTTTTTTTGGGGGGGGGCACATGGATGAGCCCCCCCCCCAATGTTCCCATCCAGGGGTCCCGGCGGCCGCGGTCCATGGCCAAACCCCAATGCCAACTCCGTAAGTTTGGGGGGGGCTTTTTTTTTTTGGGGGGGGAGTGGAAATAAGGGGAGGGGGCTGTGCCCCCCCCATGCTGACCCTTTTCGCCCCCCCCCCCCAGATTGCCTACTCCTCCTCGTCCCCCGGGAACTACGTGGTGAGTACCGGGGGCGCTCAGGGGGGGGATGGGGGGCGCGCTGCTCTGCTTGCCCCCCCCCTCCGTGCCCCCCCCTTCTGATTTGCCCCCCCCCCAATTCCCAGGGCCCCCCCGGGGGCGGTGGCCCCCCCGGCACCCCCATCATGCCCAGCCCCGGAGGTGAGTGTCAATGGGATGGGTACAAGGGGGGGGTTTGGGGGGGTCCCCCTGCATTATGCTTGGGGTGGGGGGGCTGGGGGCACCACAAGCGTTGCCCCCCCCCATAAACCCCCCCGTGCCCCCCCCCAGACTCCACCAACTCCAGCGAGAACATGTACACCATGATGAACCCCATCGGCCCGGCGGGGACCCGGCCCAACGTGAGTGCCCTGGGGGGGGACAAGGGACAAGGGGGGGGTCTGGGGGGGGGGCACGACCCCCGCGGTGCCCCCACCCCCCCCTTTTTTTTTTTTTCCCCCCCCTTTGCAGTTCCCGATGGGGCCGGGGCCGGAGGGGCCGATGGGCGGCATGAGCGCGATGGAGCCCCACCACATGAACGGCTCCTTAGGTGGGTGCCCCCCCCCAAAAAAAAAAAAAAAAAAAATTTTGGACCCCCCCACCCCCAAACCGAGGTCCTGGCGGTGCCCCCACCCCAACCCCCCCCCCAGGAGCATCCTGCAGGCCGTGAGCTCCATCTGGGGGCTGCCGGGCACCGCGCAGGCGGGGATGGGGACGTGGGGGGGGGCACAGGCACAGGGGTTTTTTTGGGGAGGGGGGGGCACAGGCAGGGGTGGGGGTGCCCCTAATGGTGCTGCCGGTGTCCTTGCAGGCTCTGGGGACATGGACGGGCTGCCAAAGGTGAGTGTGGAGACCCCATGAACTGGGGGGGGGGTCCCTGGCTCCAGGACCCCCCCCCCACACACACACACACAACCCCATTCACAGGGACCCCCCCCCCATGCACTGAGCCCCCCCATGCACAGGGACCCCCTTTACATTGCCCCCCCATGACCCTGGGCACCACTGAGGACCCCCCCCATTAACTGGGACCCCGTGCAAGGAGCCCCCCCCATACCACTGACCCCCCCCGTGCACTGAGCCCCCCCCCCTGCATTGAGACCCCCCCCTGAGCCCCCCCCCCCCATGCACAGGGACCCCTTTACATTGCCCCCCATGACCCTGGGCACCCTGAGGCCCCCCCATTAACTGGGACCCCATGCCCTGACCCCCCCCACATTCACTGAGCCCCCCCCACAATAAATTGCCCTCCCCCCATGCTCTGACCCCCCCATGCATTGACCTCCCCCCCCAGATCCACCCCCATACCCCCCCACCCCCCCCCACGCCCCCCCCTTATCACGACCCTTATCATTTCCTTATAATTTCCTTATCATTTATTATCATTTATCCCCCCCCCCCCGCAGAGCTCTCCCAGTAACCTGGCCGGGCTGAGCAACCCCCCCGGCACCCCCCGGGACGACGCGGAGCTGGGCAGCAATTTCTTAAACCCCTTCCAAAGCGACAGCGTAAGGGACCCCCCCGCGGGCACCCCCCCCCAAAGCCACCCCCGGGGGGGCAAACGGCGAGGGAGGGGGGCCCGGGGGGGGGGTCGGGGCTGCCGGGGGGGGGGCACGGGGCAACCGCAAAGCTCTGGGTGACCCCCCCCCAGCTGCATTTTGGGGGGGGGGGCTGTGGGAGAGCAGCCCCAGAGGACGGGACCCCCCCTTTTGCCTCCCCTAGCATCTAAGCTTGGTGGCGTGCCCCCCCCCCCAAAAAAATGCCCCCCCCCGGCCCCGCTAACCCTCCGGTGTCTCCGCTCTCTCTTAGTACTCGCCCAGCATGACAATGAGCGTGTGAGCCCAGCGCCCGACGCCGGCCGAGAACCCGACGCCCCCCCCGCGGTGCCAAAAAAAAAAAAAAAATGTATTTAATACAGCCCCCCCCCAAAAAAAAAAAATCCAGCTCCCCCCCCCCAAAAAAAAAAATTAATAATAATAATTAGCATCAGCAGCCGTGCGACAGACAGGAGGTGCCCCCCCCCCTCCCAGCACCCTATGGGGGGGGGCACTTATGGGGGGGGAGCACACTATGGGGTGGGGGGGGCACCCTGGGGGGGGGGCATGGCACCGCGGGCAGGAGGGAGCAACCCCCCCCCCCACGCCCCCTCCTGCTCCTTTCACCCCCCCCCCAATGCTTCTGGGGGGGGGAATTGGGGATAGGTATTTATTTGGGGGGGGTTGCTGTGCTGTGTGCCCCCCCCCCCAAAAAAAAAAATAAAGCGTGCTGCCCAGCTGGGGCACGTGCAGCTCGATTGCAATTAGCAGAGATGCTAATGAGCAATGTCATTTTGCCCCCCCCCATCTCATTATAAAAGGGGGGGGGCAGCCAAATGCTGGCCCTGCCATAGCCCCAGGGGGGGGGATTTTTGGGGGGTGGGGGGGGGGGCACACAGCCAGCACAGCCCCCCCCCAGCTGGGTGAGGCACCCCCAAACCAGGCTGAGTGGGGGGGGGGGTGCAAGCCAAACCCCCCCCCCCATGGAGCATCCCCCCCCCAGCACTCTATAGGGCAGGCCCCAGTGCAGAGCAACCCCCCCCGCCCCCCCCCCTCCCCAAATTATTTCCCCCCCCCCCCATACTTTGGTAGCGAACCAGCCCCGGGGGGGGGGGGATGGCTCCTGACCCCCCCCCCAGCCCCGTCTGCGTGCTCAGCCAGCACTGTGATCTTCCTGCCCCCCCCCACCCCGAGCGCCAGACCGGGGCCCCCCCCTCCCCTTATTCCCCCCCCCCCGCAAGGGACCACTTAAAAAAAAAAACTTTAATATGAAGGATTTTTTTTTTCACCTTTTTCTCCTCTTTTATAACAGAAAGGACCTCAGCCCCCCCCCCCCCCCCATCGCCCCCCCCCATCCATCCGCCGTGCACCCCCCCCCCCCCCCTGTCGGGCAGAGAGTGGGGGGGGGCTGCCCCGTAGTCGTTGTGTAGGGAGAGCGTGACCCCCCCCCCCTTCCTAGCCCCCCCCCAGCCTTTAGCCCTGACGTTGCTTATCGAAAAAACGGGGAAAAAAATTAAAAAAAAAAAAAGAAAAAAAAAGTAAAAAAACTATTAAAAATTAAAAAAAAATGGAAAAAAAAAAAAAAGGAAAAAAATCCCCAAAAAATCAAAAAAAAAGGAAAAAAAAAAAAAAAAAACAACCCTGCATCAATAAATGTAATTTGATTTTTTCAGAAAATTTGTAATTTGATTTTTTTTCGGCTCCTCCTGGGGGGGGCTGGGGGGGGGCAAAGGAGGGGGGGGGGGGGGCAGGAACCAGGCGAGACGGGGCTGGGGGGGGGGCACTGCGGGTTTATTGCCGAGGGGGGGTTGTGGGGGGGGGGGGGGGTACAAAGCTTCACAGTTTCGAGTCACAGCACCGGGTGCTGCTGGGGGGGGGGGGGGGCACAGGTCGCAGCCCCCACCCCCTATATCCACCCCCCCACCCCTTATCCACCCCCCCACCCCCCTAAAAAGCTCATATAAAATACAAAAAGGCACCCAAATTGGAGGGGGGGGGGCAGGTAGAGCCCCCCCCCATCCCCATACAGCAGAGCCCCCAACCCTGGGGGGGTGGGGGGGTGGGTTGGGGGGGGGGGGTTGTGATTCTGTTGTTTTTTTTTTTTGGGGGGGGGGTCCCCAGCGGGCGTTAGTTGGCCCCGTCGATGTGCAGGGGGGGGCGCGGGGGTCCCGGCCGTGCGGTGGCGGGGCAGGGGTGGCCGTTGAGCTGGGGGGGGGTCGCCGCCTTTTTGGGGGTGAGGGGGCAGGTGGCCCCCCCCGGGCAGGCGCGTTTCGGGCTCAGCGCCGGCCGCTGCATCTTGTGCTCCAGCAGCATGTGGTTCTGGGGGGGCAGCCCCAGGCAGGCCCTGCAGGGGGGGGGGGGAGAAAAAATAGGGTCAGGGGTGAGGGGGGGGGCACAGGGGACTGGGTACCCATAGGCCTGGGCACCCCCCATGCACTGGGACCCAATGGAGTTGGAGATCCCAAATAGTGGGTACCGAGACCCCAAATATTGGGTACCGAGACCCCGTGGCACCCCATGCACTGTGAGCCACCAGGATTGGGGACCCCCCCCCCCCAAATATTGGGTGCCAGGACCCCAAGGCACTGGGTACCCCATGCACCGGGACCCAATGGGATTGGAGACCCCAAATCTTGGGTAGCAGGACCCCATAGTCCTGGGTACCCCCATACCCTGGGACCCATCAGGGTTGGGGACCCCAAATATTGGGTACCAGGACCCCATAGTCCTGGGCACCCCCATGCACTGGGACCCACCAGGATTAGGGACCCCAAATCTTGGGTACCAGGACCCCATGGCACCCGGCACCCCCTGCATTGGGTAGGGGGGCTCGGTGGTGTAGGACCCCCCCTGGGCATGGGGACCCCCCAAAATTGGGCACCCCCAGCACTGGGACCCCATCAGCACTGGGACCCACTGGTGCTGGGCACCAGGCACCAGTACCCCCCCCCCCCAAACACATGGGGTCCAGCACCGGGCACTGGGGACCCACCAGCACCAAGCACCCCAAACCTTGGGCACCCCAAACCTTGGGCACCCCAAACCTTGAGCACCCCAAATTTTGGGCACCGAGGACCCCCCGGTGCCGGGCACGGAGCACCAGGACCCATGGCCGGGTCTGGCACCCGCAGCCTTGGGGCACCGGGATGGGCACCGAGCCCCCTGCACGGCCACCCCCGGGGGGACCTGTCCCAAAGAGTGGGGTGACCCCGGGACCCCCCCCCAAGGAAAGGGGCACCCTTGGGTGCGGGTACCTCAGGATGTTCTCGATGCAGCTGCGCTGGCGGAAAAGGAGCGTTGACGACCGGGGTGCCCTCGGGGACCAGGGGGGCCTTGCAGAGGAAGGCGACAATGGAGAGGACGCTGTGGAAGCCCTGGAATTCGGGGTCGCCCTCGGTGCAGAAGGTGATGCGCTGGCACAGCTCCGTCAGGATGGCCAGGTCCAGGATGATGGGGCTGGCCAGCAGCGAGTCCTGCGGGCCCACCCCCCAAAAAAAAAATAAAAAAAAAATTTAGGGATGTGCCCCCCCCTGCCCTCATCTACCCTCCCCAACCGGCCCCGCGCACCTCGCAGGTGTTGTGGATGACGATGGTGTTGGTGCCGCCCATCATGATCTCCGACGTGTACTCGTCCAGCGCCCGCTTGCTGTCCCCCACGTAGGGCACGTATTTGATCACCACCTGCCAAGGGAGACCCCAATCAGCCCCCCCCCGTCACCCCACGGCCCCCCTCCCCAAATATCCCCCCCCCAACTCACGCAGTGGTCGGGTTTGTCGTGCGGGCCGTAGAGCACGGGGTTGGCCAGCACCGTGTCGTCCACCACGTTGCTCTTGGAGATCTCCTTGGAGCGGAACTGCTGCGGGGCCGAGAGGTTCTTCCCGTCGTTGTTCCCCAGGTGGTTGTAGCTCACGATGGACTTGGTCTGGGTGGGGGCGGCAGGCAGGTCGACCCCCGGCTCCGTCCCCAATGGGGTGGGGGGGACATCGCCGCCGGGCACCGAGGCGCCGCGCGCGCGGCCCCGTCCCCGCATACCTTGAGCCCGGCGCCCACCAGGAAATCCACCAGCACCGACTTGAGCTTGGTCTGCCCGGACTTGAAGTCATCGCCGCAGATGAAGACGCGGCGCTGGGCGGCCAGCTCCACCGCGCCCGGCACGAAGGTGTTTTGGGGGGAGCCGTTGATGTAGGCGCAGCCCTCCAGGATGCTGGCCACGGCGAAGAGCGTGGACGGGGACACCTCCAGGCCTCGCTGCGGGGACACGGTGGCACAATGTGTGTATGTGTGGGGGGGGGTGGTGTGGGTGTCCCCCCCCCCTCTCCGGCGTGCCCTCACCTCGATGGCCCGCAGCAGGTTGTCGGCGGTGTCGTTGAGCCCCGGCACCACGTCGCAGAAGCGCTCCGTGTTGGCCGTCCACAGCACGATGACTTTGTCCACCCCGCTGCTCTCCTTGAAGTCCCGGATGTCCCTGCGGATCTGCTCCACCTGCCGTGACCGTGCACCAGGTCAGCACCGTGCCCTTCGTCTCCTCACCCCCCCCTGCTCCGTGCTCCCCCCCCCCCATTGTCCTGTTCCCCCCCCAACCCCGGCACCTGCTCAGGCCTTGGAGCCTCGCAGCACGTTGTCCGCCCGCTCCTCCTGGTTGGCGGCGATGAACTCGGGGATGTAGATGGAGGGCCGGGGCTTCATCTTCTCCATGTGGGGCCAGAGCTGCTCCTGCAGCGGCCAGTCCAGCACCTCCGCCCGCCGCATGGCCTCGGCCAGGTTCAGCGAGGAGATGTCCCAGCCTGAGGGGGGGGGACACAACCATGCTGGTCCCGCACCCCGTGCCCATCAGCGGGCCCCCCACCCGCCCCACCTACCATCGAAGACGATGTCGTTGGGGTGCACCATGGGCAGCAGGTCCCGGAAAGGCACGTAGACATCACCGGTGGGGCCGGTGCCCAGGCACACAGTGGAGGCTTGGAGCAGCGAGCCATAGTAGTTGGCTTTCTGCGGAGGAGAGCGCGAGGATGAGCAACCGGCCCCCAAAAAACAGGAACCCGGGGCCGCAGCCCCCCTTCTGCAGGACCCAGGTGGGGACGGGACCACCTCGGGCGCCCCCATCCCCGTGTCGGGGTGCAGCCCGGACACCCACCTTGCGCCCCGTCTTGGTCATCCAGGACAGGCCCAGCCTGTTGGCCAGCACGGCCGCTGTCACCGTGGTGCCGTTGTTGCCTCCCCAGCCCACCAGCATCAGCCCCAGGCGGGGGACCTGCCGCCCCGTGCGGAAGGTGAAGCGGGTGGAGCACGGCCTCACCTGAACAGCGCAGACACCGGGGAGGTGAGCGAGCACCCAGAGGGCCAGACCCCGGACCCGGTGCCACCAGGCCAGGTGCCGGTGTCCCCGAGGCCACCGTCCCCATCCCGTACCTTGGTGACGCCGTTCTCCTTGCAGACGTGCACGGTGCTGTACGTGTACTTGGCCTCGATGAAGTCCTTGCTGTACGTGACATCGGGGCTCTCCACAAGGAATGTCTCTGCCATTGTTCCTCGAGCTGGAATTGGAGGAAATGGGTGGCACCCCCGGAGCCTGGCACGCCGGGGCCTTTCCCCCCCCCCCCCCCCCCCCATCTCCACCCACCCCGCTGGGACGCGGCTCCGGGGCTGTGCCGCTGGGGACGGCTGGCTCCAAGCCCCTGTCCCTGTCCCTGTCCCCTCCCAGCTCAGCACCGCTGCCCCCAGCCCCAGGACATCACCGAGCCCCCGACAAGCGGGGATGGCACGGGGCAGGCTGTCCCCGCTGTCCCCAAAGCCCCCATTGTCCCCAAAATCCCCTCTGTCCCCAAAGTCCCCTGTCCCCAAAGTCCCCGCTGTCCCCATCCCCCGGGCAGCAGATGGCACAAGGGACCGGTGCCAGCAGGACCCGGGGTTACCGGGGACGGCACCGGGGCTTCGAGGGGACACCGGGACCGGAGCCACCCCCCCCCAGCTCCGTGCCACCGGGACCCCCGGGGGATGGGATGGGATGGGGGGGGGCGGCCCGGAGCGCACAGCCCGGGGAGGGGACGCGGGGACGCGGCGACCCCGGGGCCGTCCCCAGCGGCTTGGGGAGGGGGGGGGGCGGCAGGAGCCGGGTCCCACCCCCCTCCCATCCCCGCCCCGGTTTGGGAGGCGGTGGGGGGGGGGCACTCACCGGAGCGGGGGGCGCGCAGGAGCCCGGTGCCGGTGGCTGCCCCACGGGGGGATGCGAGCGCGGCTGGGGCTTCCCCTCGGCTCCCGCCGCTTAATCGGCTCCCAGGGCCCGCCCCCCCCCCGGCTCCGCCCAGCCCAAAACTTTCCATCCTCGCCGGACCCCCCCCGGTCCCGTCCCCCCCCTCCCGCCCCCGCACGTGCCCCGGTACCGGTGGGGGGGGCACCGGGCACGGCCCCAGCTCGCCCCCGGCCACCGCTGCGCTGCGCGCTCCGTGCGCCCCGCACCGGCTCCGTGCGCGCACCAAGGGCAGGGGGCTCCCCGGGGAGGGGGTCCCTCGGGGGGGGGGTTCAGTGCCCCCCCCCCTACACCCCCACCCCCGGTTCTCACCGGAGGGGCACGGAGCGGGGCGGGCCGAGCCCTCCCGCAGCGCCGCGCCTCCAGAAGGGGAAGCGGCCGCTGACCCGGGAAGGGGAAGTGGCACCGGGGCCGGGGCCGTCGGGGGGGGTGGGAGGGGGGCTGGGGGGTCCCGCCGCTGCCTTCCGCCCATTCACGGCCCCGGGCCCGGGGTTTCCGGAGCGGCGGGGGATGGGGATGTGGGGGGGGGGGGACCGGAGCTTGCCCACGGGGCCGGAGCCGCCTGGGGCATCCCCGAGACCCCCCCTGCAAGGGGGCTCCCCAAATGGGGACCTGGAGATCCTGGCACCATCGCCCTGCAGCACCCAGCACCCTGCAGCCCCCAGGCTTGGGCATCCCGAAGCCCCCATTTTTGGGGACCCCGTAACCCCCATCACCATCACCCTGCAGCCCCTGGCTTGGGCATCCCAAAACCCCCATTTTTGGGGACCCCGCAGCCCCCAGCACCAGCACCCTGCAGCCCTAAGTCTGGGTATCCCAACTCCCCCATTTGGGGTATGACACAGCCCCCATTACCATCACCCCGCAGCCCCCATCACCCTGCAGCCCCCAGCTTGGGCATCCCAAATCCCCCATTTTGGCGACCCCACAGCCCCCATCACCATCACCCCGCAGCCTCCATCACCCCCAGCTTGGGCATCCCGGAGCCCACAGCGTGCTGACCCCTCAGCCCCCAGCACGGGCACCCCGACGGTGGCACCCTGCATCCCTGTCCCCCCCCACGGCCCCCACCCCATTGCGGGGAGGGGGCCGCAGGGCGCTGCCCCCCCCCCCCCGTTGGCTGTGGGAGAGGCCGCCAGGAGGCTGCTCCCAGCCTCCACGGAGCGGGACAGCGAGGGGGGCCCCGGGGGGCCTGGCTGCCATTTCAATGGGACGGCCCCGCTTCAAAGCAACCCCCCCGCTCTTTCCCCAACACCCCCCCCCGGAGCAGGAGCAACGCCCGTGTCCCCCCCCCAGCGCTCCCAGCCCCTTCCCCACCCATGCTCCCCGCCGACGTGGCGAGGACAGCTCGGCTGCCACCCACCCGCCAGCCCCGGGCCCTGGCTCCGCGGGGGCCGCTGGCACCGCCAAGCGTGCGCAGAGATTTATTTTTTTTTTTTGGGGGGGGGGCACATATAGGGAAGGGGACGACACGTGGGGGACCACCGGGGCCGGGCACCTGTCGGGGGAAGCCGCCGGGCATCGGCGGTGCCGGGGGCGTCGGGGCCCGAGGGCCACATCCATGCCGTGGGCAGCGGCGGAACAATGCGCCCTCAGTGCCGGGGCTGCGGCACTAAAACGAGCCCCGCGCTGGAATTCCAGCGCCTCAGCAAATTATTGAAACAAAAATAACATTTCTTTGTACAATAATCCTGGGGCGGGGAGGGTCCGGGCAGGCAGCGCTGCCAGGGGCCGAGAACTGGTATTTTTCCACTGGCTTTCCTTTTTTTGCCCCCTCCCAGAACTCCCACCATTGTTCCTTCCCCCACTCCCTTCCCACCCCTCCCACGCTCGGCACCGCATGAGCGGGGCTCCCTTGTTCCTGCTCCCGGCGCTCATGGGCCGGGCGCCCGGGCCGGCCGCCCAGCGCCTTCGCTCCCCAGCTGCCGGGGGCTGGCGGGGGGCCAGGCGAGCACGGAGCCATAGCGACCAGCGCGGCCCCGGAGCAATGGCACCAGGAGGTGTCCCCCCCAAAAAAAAAACTCCACGAGGCCCTAAACCTACCCATACATCGCATTCGGGGCCTGATTCTCTTCCTATAATTAAGGGGGAGATGGGTTGTGGGGACCCCCTGGAGGGCACCCCCCATTCCCCATCCCTTTCCCCTATAATATTGCCCCAATTCCCTTGTTTTTACCCCAAGCCCTCCGTCCCACAGCCGGCTGCCTCCTGCACCTTTGGGATTTTTCCCTTCGCGTTAAATAACCCCCAGCCTCTGACTCTGCCTTATCTTCACCCACGGCCACTGCTTTTCCTCTCCTTCCTGTCCCCTTGCCGTGACCCGCCGGGAGCCACGCACCCAAGGACAGACGGACGGGTGCAAAGGGACGGATGGACGGACAGGACGGGGTGGTCGCTGCGGTGGGAGCACAGCGGCGGTGCCACCAGAGGGACCGGCTCCGGCCGAGCGCGTCGAGGGCAAATTAGGCTAATGAGCTTCCTCCTGGAAACGAGCCGCCAAGCAAAAGGCGCACGCACGACCCGACCCCGCGGGACGGAAAAACCCGCGGCTGCCCCGCCGCGCTTGGAGCATCCCGCAGTGCTCAGCGCGCCCCGTTTGGTGACCCGTTTGGTGACAGTGTGGCGTGCCACATGGGGACACTGCTGGGTGCCACACGGGGACACCGCTGGGTGCCAGCTCGGTGATCGTGGCCGGGGTTCCTCGTGGAGCTGCACGAGGTCCACGCCTCGCCCCGAGGATGCTGCCCCGCTCGCAGCCCCAAAATTGGGGATTTCTGCAGCCCCGAGCTGCTCCGTGCCGCGTGCCCCCGCTGAAGGCCGGCGGCCGCGGGTTCCCAGCCGGGTTCAGATAAGAAGGGAAGCTTCTGGAGCCGGGCTGGCTCTGGCACAGAGGAAGCAGCCAGTAAATTTCCACTGGTGCTGCTCGGAGTTAATTAGTTCTCTGCGTGACCCCAGGCAGCGCGAGCTGCCAGGGGCTCGGAGGAATTACCTCGGGCTGCGGCAGGAGGGGACGGGGACCCCAGAAGGCGCGGGCGGCGGCGATCCCGCATTTAGATGATGCAGACGTGGTGTCCCCAGGGAGGTGGCAGGTGACAGGGGGTGAGAACTGCACCACTGACAGAGGTAACGGGCAGGAGGGACAGGGAACGAGGAGCTGTGGATGCTCGGGAGGTGGTGAAGCAGCAGCCAGGGCTCGGCATCTTCCCGAGGGCAGCACTGGGAAGTAAAACCCCAAAGGCTTTGCCCCAGGCTGCTCAGGACCTGCAAGAGCACGGCTCAGCTAACACGAGGCCTTGGTTCTCACTCCATAAGGGCTTTGGAAAAGCACCACCAGGCTCCACGCACCCGGCTCACCTCCCTGCGAGCAAACCCTCAGCTGCAGGAGCATCCCTTCCCTTCCCTTCCCTGCATTTTCCTTTTCCAAAGCTGAAGCCCGTGAAATAAGACCCAAGCAGAGTCCATTTCCCTCCACTTTCAAAAACAACAACAAAAAAAGCTAAAATATCTATTCCTTCGCCACATTATTTGATTGCTGGATTGCGTGCACTCGCTTCATCGTTATCTCACAATTTTGGAGGTAGAATCCAGGCTCTGGCACTAGCGGGGAGCCAAGCACAGACGAACGCTGGCTCGTTGTTTGCACAGGTGGATGGAGCGTGATCCGCCAGCAGCTCTGGCCCTGAGATCCATGAACCTGTGCCTGTCACCCTGTTAGAGGAGGGGATCCCAAAGCAGCTCCCGGAGCGTTTCTGCTCCGCTGTGCCTGCTGCAGCCGTGGCGAGCAGCAGAGGCAGGGACGGGGCAGAGGCCAGCTGCAGAACAGCAAGCAGCCGGCAGGAGAGGGAAGGCTGAGCTCTGGGAAGGAAAAGCAGAAAAAGGGACAAAATCTGTGCACAACCAAGCCACCTAAGTGTACCCCGAGCTCTGGCTCAGGAAGCCAGGACCACGCTGGCTGACTCCAGCTCCTGCCCAGCCACGTCTGCCCCAGACTCAAGGAACAGCATCCCCGCTGCAGCCCACCTCTGTTTTTCCTTCCCTTACCTACTAAAACCCATTCAAACGACTCGGTTTCCTTTAAGCTTCCTGCTTTCTAAAGCCATTTCAGACATTTATCACCTTTCTCGCGTTTTCTCGCAGTTAAGAAGCACTGAAAAGAAATATACAACCTTATTGTTTGCTTGTTTTCCAATACAGTGAATTTATTATATGTTGCAAAATCAGCATTCAGCTTTTTAGTGTACAAAAAAGGACACTAGCTCTTAAGAAAAGATTAGGAAAGCTGAAGACTATGCTGCCTTTAAATTGTAACATTTTGGCAAAGTGAAAAGCTCTTTTGTAAACTCCAACTCCATGGCTCAATATAGTTTTATCCACAGTACAATATTACAAAGTAAAACACAGTATCAATAAGTTAAGATCATACTTAATCACCTAGAACTGGTTTCTATTAACCCAAAAAGCACAAAATTTGCCTAGCTTCATAATCTCTAAAAAGAAAAAAAAAAAAAAAAGGCAGATTCGACTACAATTCTTTAACACAGTCCAAAAGAAAAGTGAAGCAGAAAGTTGTTGAATGCTAATTGGGTCTCACAGTTTGGATATTCATTAAATATTTTCAGTTTTATATTCAAATTTTTAGAAGTTCCAGAATATACATGTAAATGTACACAATACATCTTTGTATACAACTCTGTTTGCAAAAATATCTTATAGCAGATGTATAAAGATTGAGATCCATCTCTACTCCCCCTCCCTCCCCGATCCCCAAAAAGCAAAAAAAAAAAAAAAAAAAAAAAAAATCAATTCAAAATATTAAGGGTCAGAACGAGAAGTGTTTCCATGGAAGAATCAACTTGGTTACGGAGCTGCTGCCTCTCCTCCTGCTGGTCGAGTTTCTGGCCCCTCGCCCAAATCGCCTCTCGCTCCCAGGTGGACGCAGTCCCACCGGGATGGGATGGGATGGGATGTGCAGGCGCTGCCCCATGGCACACGCTCCAGGGGAGCTCAGCATCATCACCCCTGGCTCTGTGTGAGCTCCAGCCAGCGATGCTGCTCTCGGATCAGGCACCTGGGGGGCTCCGAAGCGATGGATCTCGCGCAGACCCCGGGCAGGGAGGCTCCGTGCTCCGCAGCGCCCGTCCTGATGCCCCCTGGCAGCGGTGCTGGCAGGAACGCAGCCCCTGCTGCTCCTCTGGGATCCTCCTCGGTGCATGAATTTGCTGCTACAGGGAGCTTGTTGGAACCAGGACAGAGCCTACACGAGGCTCGAGCTCCACGGGATGTGGGTGCCCGTCTGATGTTCCCTCCTGCCACCGCTCCAGAAACCCGGGTGCTCACCAGGCGTGATGCTCCACTGGGAAGAACAAAGAATCCTGGAGAAAAGCTCCTCGCCTTCCTTCGCGTGCATCTTCCAGCCTTCCCTTCCTGGTGGAAGTGCTGGAGGCATGGTGTGCCACAAGCAGGACAGAGCTCCCTAACTGCCCGACTTCTTTGCTCACAGAGGAAAAGATGAGCCCGAAGCGTGCCCTGACCCCGGGAGCCTCGTCTGGACTTCCACGCGGGGCTCTCACCCTACAGACCCCATCATCCTTGGGGTTCACATCTCGTCCCCCCTCTCCTTTTCCTGTGCTGCTTCAGAACAGTTTGGGTTTTGCGGGCCAGCAGAAACACGTGGCTTTCCAGCGGCTGTCCGTGGAGGCTGCCCTTTGGAGAACGGGATGGCAAAATCCTGGCGAGCTCTGGACGTCTGCAGACAACACGGCAGGGATGGAAACTTGGGATGTGGCAAAGGACAAAGCCAAGTGGTGGCCCTGTCCGGGCGACACAGCAAGAACAACCTAGCCAGAATGGGTATTTTGGATAGAATGGATATATTTTTTTTAAATACAGCAGATGGACCCACTTTTTTGGGGTGGAAAAATAAACTGCTCCTTGTAAAAGAACTGTTTCCCTCCGCAACTCTGCCATTCCGCTCCTTCAAAGGGTGAAAGACTCTTCAGTGCAACCTCCAAGGGAAGGAGACGCCCCGGGAAAGGAATCCTTTACTTTGAGATAAACGGAAGCGGGAAGAAGTCAAATCGCACAGGCTGGCAGGATTAAAAGGGGAGAGGGGAGAGAAAGAAATAGCAGAGTTAAAGGACACCTTTGTGCTTTTTGGCGTGTTTCTCACACCCTGGCCATACTCTAAAAATGTTCCCTTCAAGTCCAAAAAAAGGAAAAAAAAAAAAAAATCAAGAAGAAAGACTGCGACGAGAAGCTGGCTAGATAAAGCACAACAGGGGAAGTGACCCGCATGGGAAAACGCTACCTTGCTTCTCTCACACTCAGGCGCCTGTTCTGAGAATGGTTTTCTGCTGCTGCTTCTTTGGAAATAAGACAAAAAAAAACAGAAGAAAGCATCACGTTCCCCACCCCCCGCCCCCTCCTCTCCTATGGGTCATTACAGGTAATAAAATAACTTCTCTGGGTAACTATCCAACGAGCTTCAGTAACACTGCAATTGTGAGACAGGAAAGGTTCTGAAACACTTGGCCTAAAAGGAAAAGGGAGGCACAGTTTTAGAAAAAGATGCTTTTTTTTTTTTTTCTTTTTTTTTTGTTATACAAAAATAGACCATAGTCTCATTAAGCAATTAAGAAAATTGGCTGCCTCGGTAGAAAATTATAAAAGTCAAAGACAGACGGGGTCTCAGTCTTCCCAGCACTGGTACGTGAGGGGTAACGCAGGCAGACTGGGCTGCAAGGTCTACGCCCGCTGGATCCCACCGCACGCCTGGCCCCGAGACCTTGAGAGGAAGGATCAGGATCCGCATCTGCACGGCGCCAGGCACCCGGTGCAGATCCCCGGGCTGTTCCCCTCCTACTGACACAACCACCTCAAAGAGAGCACACACCGGAGATGACAAAAGCAGGAACAAACAACGAGAGCTCTGGGTACTTGGTGTATTTAACACGGTGCCATGGAGAGCAGACAGCTTGCATATGAACAGTCGCAGGTGCCAGAGAAGGAGGTAACCTAGCAGCATTCCAGTTCCTCACCATTTGAAGGACAATTTGTAACCCAGCGGACCTGGGCCAGGGGTAATTACACTTCATGCCAAAACTTTTAATCCATGAAAACTACTGATTCTTAACCTTTGGGAGCTTCGGTCACTTTAGGCAAGGTTTTTTTTTGTGTGTTTTTTTTTTTTGCTTTTTTTTTTTTTTGCTTTTTTTTTTTCCCTTAAGTGTCAATCGCTGGCTTCAAACAAGCAGAGTTTTGTTTGTTACATCCCGACATTCAGAGAGGCTACAACTCGAGAGGACCGTGCCAGGCGCTGGTGTGCTACCTGGCTCAGACGCGGACACGAGAGACTCGCCACTGTAAGAAATCCCCAAGTTCTTCCACCATGAAGAATTTAATGCTCGTCTCTGAAAGGAATCTAGTTGTATAAAAGGGAACGTAACGTCCAGGTGACTTTTGCCCTACCCAGTCCAGATCAGCGCCGGCTAGAACTGCTGTTGGTCATACTCTGCTATCAGTTTTTTAATGTGAGCCAGTTTGTTGTGGAGGTATTCGCAGCGGTTCTTCTCTTGGCTGTAATTGGGGTTAGTCTGCAAAGAAAAAGGAAGATTTAGTCACAGAGTGCAACCCCTCAGCGGCAACCTGACCGAGGCTCTCTGACCTCAAGGTATAAATAGATGAGCGGGGAGCAGAGCAGACACCCGCTTGTTACGAAGGTACCTGTCCTGTTCCAACCAGCCAAGGAGCTGAATAAATCCCTTCTCCTCAGTGCCCAGCTTCGGGGAGCTGATCACGGGGCAGCGAGCGCACCTCGCACGAGGCTCGGAGCAGCTGTGCCGCACGCAGCGGCTTTCAGCACGCATCACCTGCCCTTTGGCCCCCACGTTAGCAGCGGATTGTGCAAGTCTGAGAGGTTTACAACAAAAAGGAACTTATCACGCAGGGACACTCTTCCCAAAGCTCCCAAATCCCCCAGGGATGAGAGGGCTCAGGGCTGTATCCATAAATATCCCCTGCCCTGGTACCTGGATGCCCCAGCCTGCCTCTGCTCTGCTACCTCGTCCAGCTGAGCCCCAAATCCTCCCAGTCAACAGCTGCTTTATGTGCACGGGAAGACAAAATATTCTGTATGCCACGCACAAAAAAACAAGCTGAGGCCACAGGGGACTATCTACCCAAGTGGTTTGTCCTACAGACTGAGCTCAGCTCCTATCAAGCACCCCAGCAGCCCCCAAGACCTGGAGGATCCCGTTATCACTTGGCCTCTACCTCCAAAACACAAACTGTTCTTCACTGAAGGATGGAAACACGAAATTTAACACATTTGTTCTTTTGCTAGCACACCACTAGCAAAGTGGAAGTGTTCCCCAAGAGGCACGGAGCAGCCCCAGCTGCCCCCAAACCCTCTCTGAGCAGTGAGAGGACCACTCTTTGGACGAGCTCGAGCTGAACAAAGGTCTGCTCGTAAGCTAGAGGCTGGGTTTTCCCTTGGCAAGCACCCATTTCTTTCAGTCGCTAGGGGCACCACCCAAAAGCCTTGTTTATGGGCAAGTATTTTTTCCTTACCTTTTTAATTTTCCGGTATTCCTGTAATATTTGATCATGGATGGTCTGAAAGAGGAAAAGATAACTTGTTTTCAGAACAGCCAGCACTCCTGCAACCTGAAGCATTTACCCACGGCATGACATGCACATTTCCTCCAAATACTGACCCAAACCTTCTCCCCTGGTGCTAACAGCAGGGGCACGGGAAGGAACAGTTCCCTGTCTCAATTCCCCAGCCACAAAATCTACCTGTAACGAGCACTGGAATTGACAGGGTAATTAACGTTTCCTCCACAGCTCAGACTAATTTTTCCCCAAGATATGAGAACATTTCAGTGAGGAATCAGGAGATTTCTCAAAGAGGGGCAGGACGTCTGAGGGAAGAAACTGTGCTTAGTACAATACGTGCTCTGCAAAAAGCTGTTTGTTATACTCGTTGAGCCTTATTTTCTCAAGATAATGAATAGTTAAAGCTCTTCTAAAATCGGTCTGACAAGTTGAATAATGCTACATTATTAAGATCAAAGATTGGAGAGAAACAGATGACCCTGTCCTAACTCCCCTTCCAGCCCCGATACGCTACCATATGTGCGAATATGAGTTTTCTGGCTGGGACACACTAATAGCTTCCAGCAGCTTTTGGCTGAGGACGCCAATTGTCTCACTGAGGCCTTTCCTTGTCAACAAGTACCATGATGTGTGCTCCAGCTTGAAAACGAAAGAACACAGAGCTGTTTTAAGAACAGTCCACAAAGCTGTCAGCTGTGTGCACGTTCTGCATCCACCAGTCCCGGGCTCTGGGCATTTCTTTCACGGGCAGAACACGGGGCCTCCAGCAACCAGCCTGGAGAGCCCCGTGCACAGAGCGAGCTGCGGCAGCCCCATGGCAGAGGCAGCTTTTAGAAGGATGAATTTGTCTCTACCTTGTATTCTTCAGAGCCCTGCAAGAGTTGCTTCAGCTTGGAGTCTAACTGCGTAAACCGCCGGGTTATCCTCTCTATCCGAGCGTGCAGGTCTCTGTACTCGTTGTACTCCGCGTTGAAGTCGTTTTTGTAACTCTGACGCTGCTCCGAAGAGGAAATGGCTGCGTATTTTCTAGAGGGAGAATAATTTCGTTAAGCGGTTTAGCGAGTCTTCTCCGTAGGCAGCACGAAGGCTGCGGTGCCAAGAGCAGGGCGACAAGTCTGCCAGGTGACTGACTGCCCCGGGAAACAAATACAGTCTCCTACGATCTGCACGACAGCGGCACTGAGATAACTACTGAACCTTGACCTCTCTGTGAAACAAGATAATATTTGCTCCGAAAACTTCCTATCTCTGCAAGACAGGCTGGAATATGCAGGTACAGCAAAGCCTGCGAGCAGATGAGGGTGTAGGAGGACACTCAGATAGCACTGCTACAGCTTTTCTGATTCCTGCTGTCCCCCAGAACATGGAGTTCTGCATCTGTGCCAGACCTTGGAACAGCAGGAATACGATGCTTCCAGCGCGCCGAGTCTTTAAAGGAACACAAAAACCGCTCAGCTATCACTGCAAAATGCTCGCAGTGCTATTATGTGGCAAGCACGGGATAAGCAGCACGTTGAATAGGCTGAATGCGGCTCCACCACCTCCTGAAGATACCCAAGGAGCTGAACGCAACGCCAAGAGCTCGCGTTTAACAGATGTGCCTCTGAGGCCCTTTGAAAGTCGTTCAGCTCAACAAGAAGCCATTAAACCTGACATTCTGCAGCCAGCCCTCTGTGATGGCAAAGCTCCTCTTTCCACAGGTGACGACTCTCATTTGCCACCTTGCTCCATCTGCAACACGGTGCCTGAGCACGTACAGGCTACCTGAGGTGTCAAATTAAGGCAAAACTTTAACTGCATTAACTTCAACGCACTTTTTTTTTTCAGCCTTTTCAGCCTTTTTCAATTTTCCAGCCTTCGAGAGCTGGCTCCTTGAGAGGGGTCGGCACAAAAACGCATCTACACAGGACGTGCTAACATGAGATAAGGAACTCATCATCCAAACAGCCAGGGCACAGCCCAGGGTGAGACGACAGACCTTAGGGGGGTTCAGAAACCTCACGGGATTCCTTTGGAGATGGAGCAAGGAGCTGCAGTAACCTCTCCCTAGGAGGGACCAGCACAAATGTCACCAGCGAAAAAAGCAAACGGCACCCACCCCTGTTCTTCTGAATGCTGCTGGAGCCCTGCAAAGGCCAACTCGAGGCAGTTGTACAGTTCATGCAGCCCAGAAAAACTGTACAAGAGCCCTGCACATCCTCCAGATAACCCCAGAGCAGAGCCAGGAACAGGCGCTGCCTCCTCCATCGCCTCCTGTGTGATCACAGCACGGCCAAACCCTGGGTGAGGGCATTAAAACCCCGCCAGACCCCCAGGTGGAATGTCACCCACAGCTACCCCTCAGTGCCACCCGGCTGCGGCCGTACCAGAGCTGGTTTTATGCAGATTAAAAGCACGGGGACTTGGGTGCTACAGCAGACAAGTGCACTGCTTAATTAACCTTGAAGGGATCTGATTAAAAAAGTCAGAGGTGAGACAACTCGCATCCTAACCCGCAGGATATAGGAATATTTCACTGGTTTTAGAGCTGACCTTGACTTTGAACATGGGCAGCGTTAGCCAACCCCTCAAAATTCCCCCTTGCCCAGTCTTCCGTAACGCTGAAGTAGCTCGTTTCCTCTCACAGGTCCCATCTACCACACGGGGATGTTCAGTCCTTCCAAACCCCTTCAAGGTGTTCAACCTTTCTTGAAGTACTTTAACAATTGGTTTACAGGAAACCAACCCTACAAGGAAGCAAAGAACGGATCTGAGACCCGTTTTGGTCTCAGGAACTATCAGCAAAGGACCTAATACTTTTTTTTTTCAGCCCACCTTCCAAAGGTCAGTAAGCAACACCTAAATCCAACAAGAAGTCACCGAGACACTGTGATTTTTAGCCTGAAACATGATCCCAAAGCAATGGAAGAAGCAATAAGTATACTCACAATAAATAATCTGGCATTTCCGAAGTTGATGTTGGTACACTAGAATTATTGCATGTTCCATTTAAACCTGAAAGACACAAAAACTTGCTTTTAGACATTCTTAATCTTAATTAAGCTGAAAATTCACAAACCTACCCGCAACACACAGTTTATTGAATTTGGAGGGTTTCTGTCGTGCTTTGCATTGACAGAGATGGAAGGCACAGCGCGAGGTGGCTGAAACCTCACGGCTTCCCTAAGATTTGTCAGCAAAAGGACACCGACATCAGCCTCGGTGACTGGTTTGGGAACACCGCCTGCAGGGAGGGATAATGCTGGTGTCAACCACAGAACACATTGATGGGACCAGATGAGCACAAGAGAACTGAGCACCGGTGCACATTTCACCCCCTAGTTCTACACTACGTAGATCCCTGCTATTATTATTAGGGATTCCTACAGGATCTATAGGATCTCACAGGTTTATAGGGCGTGCAGCTTAGCCCTGCTGCCCTGCAGACAACCAAAGTGCTTTTTTATCAAGTGGAAGAAGCACGGATCAAGCGAGGCTCAGCTCGAAGTGTCTAGGACTTTAAGTGAAGGGACCAAAGACCTCAGAAGGAATGGGATTTTGAACGCGAGCCTAAAGCAGGCACTGTCCCCAGCCTAAACTAAACACTGCATTATTTATTTGGAGGAAGAAAAGCAGTTGGATACTGGCGTGAAAAGGGAGACTTCCTGTAAGCTGCATTATTCTGAAAGCCCTACTCAGAAAGTCAACTGCATCCCTGAGAAGGCAGCAAAAGGAGAGACAAAGGGGGAAGGCTGCAAAGGATTCCACTCATCTGCTCTGCAGAAATAAACTTCTTCTTTCCTTTTTTTGTTGTTTTTTTCCAAGTCTGCTCCTTAGAGCCAGCAGCACCGTGACTGTACAAGTCCCCTGGAGATGCAGGGGGGAGCTCCACACCTTGCCCGTTCACCAAGCTCCTTTCCAGTCGTCCCCAAAAATAAGCTGCAGGGAGCATGAAATGCCAAAGGGACGGCAGGGGGATGTAAAAACCATAATCTCACTGCATTTTTTTTTTAACAATCTGTTTTTCCCCGAGTTCCTGCAGGCTTTGCCATGCCGAGTGCCCAAACAGCACCAGGAGGAGCAGAGCAGCCTGAATTCCTGCTGCAGGTGCCTGCAAACAGCTCTGCTCTCTTCCACACCTGACAGCAGAGCGAGAGATGCCGAACACGGGCACGGAAGATGGTGGTGAAGGGAGGAGAAAGTTTGGTTTGCCTGTGAGTGCCACCTACTGTCTGCAGACAGGACCCCGAGGTCCCTTCAGTGCCTCTGGAATAGGAGAAATCCTCTCCCCTGCAGCCTCTGGGCACAAAGGGCATTTGGGAAGACCTCAGCTGCTCGCTGCAGGCGGCAGCAGCAGGATCAGGCCCCCAGCACGGCTCAGAAATGTGGGCAGCAGGATCCCAAGTCCCGAAACTGCCCCAAATCCCAGCAGCCGCTGCCCACATCCTGTTTGTGCTGACTTCGGAGGCCAGCCCGGCTCTGTCACCTCGCACACATCAGCACGAAGCAGGAACAAAACCCCGAATTCACAAAGAGCCAGGCACCGGGCTGCTTTTAAAGCAGAGCAGAGAAGGAGATAAAGGGTCAGCAACTCCACGGAGGGAGAATTCAGCTCGTTTGGGTACTCAAAAACTGTTGACAAAGACAAGACGTCCGCCCCCAGATCGCATCTACCTCCACGGCTGTTCAGGACAGGAGGTACATCAGGGAGAACAACTCGTTAACACGGGCAGAAGAATAAAACAAACCAGCACTGCCACAAAAGATCAAAGCAGAAGAAGTATCTGCTTGTTCGGAGCAGCATCACAAAGCCCCCAGGTACAGCGAGCACGGGTACAGAGCGCAGCTGAACACCAGCAGCGAGCAACCAGGGCGTGCTGTCGGTGCTACAAAGGCAGAGGGGAGGCAAGAGCTGCCACCACGCAGCTCCAAACTGCTCCTGAAGCTCTCCCTTTCCACAAATGTGATGAATTAATTCCAGTTTTTTGATAAATCGATTTCACTTTTGAGCTGCTGCCCCTTCTGAGCTAAATGCGGGTGGTTTTCATGCACCAGGCATGAAGAAGAGCTCGCTGTGAGAGCACAGAAAAGGGGTGAAGGAAAACAAAAGGGATGCAAGAAGAAGTTGAGCAGCAGAACCAGGCTGTGGTGTTCCTAGGAGCTACAGGGGAGTTCCTGCTGCTCCGGAGAGCTTTAAGAAGGCAGGAGAGCAGCAGGCACTGCAAGGGAACGGAGTGGATTAGCCAATAAATATGTGTATTCTCTGCTCTAACTTCTAAGAGTGCACAGAACTGACGTAGAAATGCATTTTTTGATGGGAAGCTTTCTTATTGCACCTAACAGGCTAAAAGTCTCGCTATTTTGTTAGTCCTCAAACCTGAGAAATTCAGACCTGTAGTGGGACAGAGCAAGGAAGCCCTCGGCCCGAAGGAGCTGGTGGTGTGGTGCCCCAGCAGCATTTATCACAGGGCTTATCTATCGCTTCTGCTGTGTCCAACACTACAAGCTTCTGCTCCTAACTTTTCATTACCGAGTTCAAAATCAATACGACAGCCATCACAATGCCCAGCACAACGCAGGAGAGCAGGAGGCAATCAAGCAGCGCTGCCTTTCCGACAGCTCTCGATGCCCGCCTTTCATCCCCACGTCTTAATAAAGCTTTTAATTGAACTGGGAGAAACATGACACGGGCTGAGGTAGCTCCAAAACTGCAGCAAAGGTCGAACAGGAAAAACCTGATAGCCTCTTCTGGGAGGAAGAGCCTTTGTTGATTTGTAGGCAGGGACAGCAGCGATATTTCAGCAGCCACACGGGCTCTGCAAGCGGGATGACACACGCAGCCTCTTCCCTCAAATGGATTCATGGCAGAAATTATGCTCAGAGAAACACGAACGCAACCCACGGGGGGCTTCCCAGCACCGACGTACCTGTGACATCCTGTGGCACACTACCTAAGTCAGCGTTTTTTATTACTTCACAGTCCTGCTTCTCCTCTTTGCACTTCTCCTCGCCCTTCTTCTCCTTCCTCTCCTTCTCCTTGTCTTTGTGCTTTTTGGATTTTTTCTTGCTTTTGACGTACGGCGAGCCGCAATTGTGCTTGCTCGTTTGGGGACAGTCTGTGGGCAAGGGGTGGCTCAGTCTGTCGGCCTGCTCCGAGCTCTCACAGTCTCTGCCGTTGTGAGTCAGGTCGTTGCTGACGTCCGCGAGGGGATCGTGAGGCCTGGGCAGCTCCAGCACGGGCAGGCTGGAGCTGGAGCTCACCGATTCCGGGAGTGCCGGCGGCAGCGCGGCGGCGGGGGCGTCCTTGCCGTTGGCGGAGTTGAGCTTCCCGTTGAAGGTGGGCTGAGCCCTGTGAGCCAGGTGCGAGATCCTGGGCTTCTTGTTGGCCACGGGATCGATAAACTCCGTGGGCTGGGATCGTTTCTGGGGAGAAAAACGGGAGAAAAAAAAAAAAAAGTGAATATCTCGAGGCCTGGCTGGGATTTTGGATGCGGTGTTTGGCTCGGTGCTGTTGCCGCTAGGTGGGGATGCAGTGCTGGGAACAGGGCTGTCACCAGAAGGGCTCTGGAAGCTGCCAGCAAATCTCCCCAGGTCCCAGCTTGGTCCCTGCAGCCCCAGCACCCTGCACAGGGGCTCCAGGACCGCCAGCACCCAGCTCCTGCAGAGCCAGCACAGCCCACACCGCGTCCCGACAGCCCCCAGAGCCCCACGGCTCCTTGGAAGAGCGGAGCTGTGACAGTTTCAGAGCCCCCCATAGCATCAGTAATTAATTTGCACTGCTTATTAACAGGCCACGCCATCCAGCCTGCTCTCTTCAGACCTTACTTCCAGCCTAGCCCTTCAGAAACCAGCCCTTGTCCTCCTCCCTCTCCATCCCAGGCACTCAGAAGGCAAGCAGCCATAAAACACCCCTCCTCATCCCTTCTGGTGGTGTTTTGAGTATCTCCAAGTCCCTGGGGAGGCTGGGGAAAGATGTGCAGGACCCCCGGAGCAGGAGGGATCGACACGTTCTGCACTGAACCCCCAGCCAGCTTCACCAGCTCCGAGGCCAACAGCTTCGCCCTCGCCACACCGCTCCTTCCTCTTCTCAAAGAGGCATTTCCCAGAAGAGGAGAGAAAGCACCAATTGCAAAGTACTCAGAATTTCAGGCAAAAAGAGGTCATCCGCAGCGAGCCACGTCACGCGGGCTGCCACAACCGGAATATCCCTCCCTTCAGAGAGCACAGCTTTCCATTTATCCCCAGCAGCCCCCCGGACACACGCAGGTGGGCCTGCCGAAGGCTCCGTGCCCCCAGTTCCTGCGATTCCAGCCGTCTGCAGGCTCGGGTCAGCCCAGGGAAGTCTCGCCGTGGAGCAGCCCAGCCTCCCATCAGCTCAGCGTGGAGCCCGAGCCAGCCCAAATTACCTTGGCCAGCCCTCAGTGCAGCTCCGTGCGCGCCTGCCTGGCAGCCACGGGCTGCAGAAAGTCTGCGGAAAGATTTTTTGGTGCCCGGCGGAAAGCGAGGGCTAGCTGGGGTTGTTTCTGTTGGATATTTCATTGTTTTCTTTGCTGTCTCAGGCAGGACTGTGTGTGCGTTTGCAAATGGAAAGTTTGCTCCCTCGCAGAAGTGTGGCTGCTCTGTGGAGGAGCCACCAATTCACTCCTCTCCCCCCCGGTCGTTATTTCTCTGCCTCTCCAGGCAGGGCACGGCGCTGTCCCTAGCCCCAAAGGAGGGGCTGTTCCCTTGGACAGCTGTCAGAGAGCTGCAGCCAGCTCTGAGAGCTGCCAGCTCTCCCTTACCTTCCTCCAAAGCTGACAAATAACCTCCCCTCTGACTTTACCTCTTTGGGTGTAAAGGTGTTCGTGCAATTCCTGCTGCGCCACCTCTCTCCTTAAAATGCTGAAGCCAACCTTTTGATTTGCTTTTGTTCCACAACCTAAATATTTTAAGGCTACCAAATCACTGAGTCCTCTGCTGGGTTTGCAACCATGAGAAGGGAACCCTCCTTTCAGTAGAAACTACAGCTCTGTAATGTGTAGCATCAAAAACCAACAGCCTACAAGAAGTGCCCCGTGCTTTGCTGTCTGACAGGCCACGTTAGCAGCGCTGCTGGAATCATTCCTGTTCCTCGTTGTTGTCCTTACTGCACTAAGCCTTTTCTACACCCAGATCAATCAGCTGCCCATGGTTTTGGTCAGATAATCGGGAGGCTAAAACCATCCCCTGCAGACCTTCACGTCTTTCTAAATAAGCGAGGTGACCTTTCAGCCTGAATTTCTGCAGAATCGGGCTAAGTGAGGCACATGCCCAGCCTCTTCAGAGCACTGTGCCTCTCTGAGCTCACTCGAAGGAAGGGGACCATTCTTAACTCACCAGGAACAAGCCCAGAGCAGAACAAGAGAGGATTTGGAATTAGCTACCTGGCAAACAAGTCGCACAGTTCTTGTTCTCAGTGGCGAATTGCTTCCCTCTCGCTGCCAGAAAGCGCATAATTTCCTTACCTGCTAATATTCTTTGCCACTAATCCTCGGTGCGTCTGTCCAGACAAGCAGGCATTACACATTCCATTGGCAGGAGGAGAATAAATACTCAACTTGTCTGGGCTGACCCACAGCAGAGAAGGGAAGCCGGCATTTCACGGTGTTAGCACGGGAAGTCAGCGCTAAGAGACACCGAGGCACGGTGGGGACAGGCTCTGCCCGACACACGAGCAAATGGAGCTGCTTCAGAGCTCTTCACCGTGGAAATCCGGCTTCTTCTGTACTCACAGCTCCCTGCGCTGGCATCTCAACAAATCACAGAGCAGACCAACGTGCTCCTGATCTGTCATGGCAATTAGGTTGCAAAAGGTCAAGGTTTTTAATAACTCGGCCGTGTTTGGGAGCTGCTTATTACTGCTTCGTTCCAGTCAATTATTAGTAATGAGCAAAACACAAGCTCGCGTTCCCCCTGGAATTCCCAGAGGTACGGAGGCACTTTGAAAAAATTTAGCCCTTCAAACTAAAGCTCAGAGCAAACTGTCAGAGAGCCTCCCTGCAGTCCATCACCGAACCACATCCAGAGGAGGAAGAGATGCTGAGGAAGCCTAGAATTAGGCTCTAACTTCAGGGGAAAAAACAAAACCCAATCCCTGCTGACCTTACAGCCTCCAGCAGCAGGCGGTCAGCACACAGACAGGCTGAACTGCTCGGCCTGGACCCAGGTCTGGCAGCAGCAGGTCTCAGTTCCTGATTCTCTGCTGCTCAGAGCGAGAGAGAGAGGCAGCACCCACCTGAGGAGGAGAGCTGGAGTTCACATTGTCCTTGGGTGGGCTCAGGGAAGGCGCTTCTCCTTGAAAGCCACCGCTGTTCTGGGGCTGACAGAGTTTCCTGAAAAACAGAAGGTGGGGTCGTTAAAATCCTGCGCCTGCTTGCTTCTGTCTTGCTTCCCCTGAGTTTTGCACTTCTCTGCACGTGGGGTAACGCCTCCAAGTGACACCACAGGACTTGGGGCAGGGGGAGAGGCAGCCCCAGCTGGGGACAGGAGCTCCTTCCCCTGCTGAGGATCTGATTTTCTGGCAGTTTTACCTCCCTCTCTTGACATGGTGACACGTTACACAAGTATCTACCTTAGGAAAATGACCCATACACATTAGTAAAGACTGGCACTGAACTTGAAAATTTATGGGCTATGTATTCTGACAACTCCTTCTGACAACAGCCTAACAAGCAAGACTATTTCAACTGATTTCAGCCCAGTTTTTGGCTCACGCAGGTGAAATTCACTTCTCAAGACCAATTCAGAAGGCAAGCACGCTCAGAAGGGGCTGAGGCTCAAGTTCAGATGCTCAGCAGTTAAGTTCTCCCTCTTCTAGCACCACCACAACAACATTTCACAGTCACAGCAGCCCTCTCTCAGAAGCAAGCCCCTCTGGGCTCAGGAAGAGCAGGATTATAACAGGAACTGTTACCGCGTTATTGGTCCTCTAGGATTTACATTTCGGGCTTCATAATAATACTTTTAAGTCGCATCATGCAAAATAGCTCTGCTCTGCTCTGTGTTTGCGGTATCTGACAAACAATGGAGACCTCTCGGAGCAAAAAAAAAAGGACAATGCAATTCATTCTCATCACGTAAGTGTGTTAATTCCCATTCATGGTGGGTGCCTGCACTCCCCACCGCCCAAGGGGCGCTCTACAGCTCAGAGTCAAGTTTTGTAGCTTTGCCCCACCCTTCTGACATGAACCAGAGAGCCCATATGTCCATTTATCACCCAGAAAAAGCCTACTGTGGCATCAGGTTGTAGCCATCAAGCAGAAAAAAAAATCAGAATTCAAGGTTTTTAACAAACTAGCTCTGCAGCCACTTCGTCCCCAGCTGCACAGCCTCGATAACCAACGTCTAAATTCTCCCACGAGAGGCTACAACAGCTTCAAAGCTCCCATTTTTCAAGCACTGGGGAGATGATTTCACAGATAAGAGTCCCAAACTAGACACTTTTAACCTCAGCCGTACAGCACTGACACAGATGCCTGCAGTTTCGCTGCCCTGCTGGCTGCAGTTGCTGTTTTGTTTCATTTTTATTTAGAACGATCCCAACAGCCAGGGATCAACTCAAGGAAAGCGCTCGGGGACTGTGAAAACAGGAAGGGGAGCAGCGAAATTCCATAAACACCAGGGCCAAGCGGCTTTCTGGATGCCTCCTGACTGGCCTGAGTAATCCTGAACATCTCCTAACATGTTAATTACGGATTAAAAAAAATAAATAAATGAGTGAAAGACGACAGCTTTCGATTCAGCAGCGGAAAAACACTTCACTACAATGGTGAAAGGAGGGAAAACAAACACCACGAGGAGAAGGAGCCGGTCCAACCCAAGCCTTGGTAGACGTGCTTTTAGGGTTTGCAGACGTGTTAATTAGTGCAGCCACTGAACCAGCAAGTGGACGTGGAAACCGAGAGGACAGCGAACAATGGGATGGATCCAGGCAACCACGCAGCCTGCCACCGCGAGCTGCGTAAAGCCCCAGGGCTGCAGCCCGTGCCCTTTTTGCAAATGTTTTTCTCCCGTCTTCAGCCCGACATGTTTTTTCCATTTTGTAGCCTCATTACCTGCGCTGGCTGCGCGGGGCTTTGTTTGTACAGTTGAACACATCCTTGCCAAGGTCTATTTTTAGACCTTCGCATAACTGAATGCCACAATTCTAGAAAAAGCGGTAAACATTGCCTTCTACAGGGAGAAATTAACTTTTTCTGAAAGCCATAAAGATTGCACGGCACTTGAATTTTTCCATTTAATTATAATTCAACATCAAGGCTGTTTAAATCAGTTTGATTTTTATTTATATTTTTTTTAGCATGCCAAAGCACTTTAAGCGCACGATTCTGTTGGTTTAACAAAGTCTCATCTCCCAGCCAATTGTGCTTTCAAATCATGGAAACCGTTCAAACGGAGCATGCTCCACTTATTTTATTGCGCTTTTGGTTAAGATTATGTCTCAGAAACACGCCAGGTAAAATTTCTATCCGCATTACAAACTCCAGTCAGTATAAACACACATTGAAAATCCAGCTAGGCACATATAAACACTCGGGGCAGAATTCCTCAGGAATTTAGGGGATACGTGCTCTTTTCTCGCTGCCTGACGGCTAAAAGCTTCCAAGTTTTTAGGTTTCATCTAAGGGAAAAAATCTTTAACAACTGAGACAGAGCTATCATCTGCTCTAACTCAGTCAAGGGCCATTTTCAGGAAGATGAGAACAGGTAGGGTGTGCAGCTCTTGGCCAGATGGCACTTTATGGGCAGGAGGACAAGCATTAAATGTTTTAGGGGATTTAAAGAACCGCCTTGTGCTTTTCCAGCCACGGTCACGCATCTCTCCCTGCAATCAAACCTCAGTCTTGCACAGCCTACGTGACTGATAGCAAAAGAATTTCCAACGCGGAGAAAAGCGCAGTAAAATATCCAGATCATCCTACAGAAATGAAGCGAGGCCTCCAAGAAAACAGCTCAAAGGGGCTGGGGATGTCCGCAGGAACAGAGCACAGAAGCAGCAGGGGCGAGACGCCGGGGCGGGGGGGACACGGCTGCAGGGCACTTTCTCTTGCTGTCCTGAACAAACACAGCAGTCTGCACAGGAAGCCGTGCACAAGGAGATACGGGACACAGAAAGGAGAGCTGCAGCGGGGAGCTGCACTGCACACGTTTGGCTTAATCCTCTCCTCTCCCAGGATTTTACCCCACCATTAAGGTTTAACTTTTTACCCCGTTCAGGTTTTCCTGTAGCTTTTAGCATAATGACTTCAGTTACTATTAAATTACAGCCTACGACCTGAAGATTGCATCCATTTAACTCTCCAGTTTGGCCAACTTCTGCAGGTGACTGGCTGACAAAGGTTTACTGGATGTTAAAATAATCCAAACGCTCAACTTCCCACAGCTCCACTGACTTCAGTCACCTTGATTTATAGCAATCTAATATTTCTGAGCTGCAGATATTAGAGAGAAGGTGGAATAATTACCGAACGAGTATCCTCTTCAGCAGCTGCTGGTCTCCTTCAGAGTAGCCTGGCCAGTCCTTCTGCACTTCTTTGTAGACGCAATCTTTCAGTGTGAAAGTGCTGTCCTTGGCACTCAAATTTGCCACCTGAAACAAAAGTCATTTGCAACACCATTAGGATTTAATTCTCCTCACTCGTTACAATAAACAGAGCTGAGATGTAGACAAAATCTCAGCAGACTTAGTGGCAGTTAGTGGTGTCAGGGAACGAGTCAGTACTATACAGTTCATTTCCAAATTTTTTAGATTATTTAATCAAACTATGCTTTTCTGTTGCCTTGTCAGTGCAATAGTTCACTGTGAGCTTCCAAAACACATGAAATTTACTGAGGAACAAGTCGGATCTAAGCAGATCGTTCAGCCTGGTAGTTTGGAAAAGCACAGCATCAATTTGGGGCAACACTTGGAAATAAACCCCAGGGGGAAGAGGCAGTTCACTCGTCACGACTGTCCGATAGCTCAAATGGTGTGATTTATTAGCTGATAGAGGAACTCTCGTGGCCATAGCTCGGTTAACAGCTGCCAGGAGGTAATTTCTCACTAGCAAGCCAGCAAAGCAGGAGGCAGGCAGCTGGTTTCTGGAGGAGCGGTGCAGAGAATGCATTGCGGATGTAACGCGGTCGGGAGCTCGTGGATTACGTTGCACAGCTACGTGTGTTAGGATCACCTGCTCGATGTTATGGAGGAGAACTTTTCTGAGGACTGCTTTAGGGAAACAACAACAAAACCTGCAATTATCGGCTTATAACCCAGGGTTTTACAGCAAATCGTAGCACCTAAGTCCTGCGGTGCAGCTGCAGGACACTCGTCCAAGCAGCTCTTTGACATTTTCTCCAATTCTATCGTGTGCCTTTCCCCCACAAGACTCTGCACGGTGCCTACGTGGATAGGAAACACTGCTGGAACCGGCAGAGTTGTGTTAGAATGGAAACAGCTTGCTACGAGTTATCCCGCTTTAATCAGTCTTTCCACAGCTTGGCAGAAAATTTAACCTCTTGCTGCTGGTTACGTGCCTGAAAAACCCAACGTTGGCACAAAGCAAAACGCCCCAGTACGTCTAGCAGTGACATTTGCATGGGTGCTGTACTTAGTCAACCCTTCTGAGGTGAGCGTGGAGCACCAGGGCTGGAAAAAAAATGCCTTAAATGCCTTAAATTCATTTATGGGAAAAGGGACAGAGAGGTAGAGGTGCCAAACGCTAAGGCCATACACAGGCTAACCCCCTGGGGAAAAAAAAAAACAAGCCAGCGTCTCCAGTTCCCAGCTCTGGCCCCTCAGTTTGACCACTGTGTTGCACTTGAGACTGGCAGGTGCTTTTATTCAGCCAGGGGAGATAAAACAGCACATCTGCTGAAGGATTAACGCTCTCCGTCGCTCGCTCTGTTCAGGAGACGGCTTGTTTGGGAGTTTCTATTATCCACGCAGCAATGAGAACCTCGGAAAAGCAAGTGAAGTAGTGGAAAATCTTGAATTAAGCAAAGATGTCGTTAATCCTGCTTTTGCTCGAGGGAGACTTTGCCCTAATATTATAAATCTAGGAATTTAAAAGCAAAAAGCTGCAAGACCGAATAGAGCAAAGCGCTGCTGATAAGCAACAAAATAAAAAGCCCGGTTATCAGTTTACATGACGAACACTGTTTTTCCTTTCAGTTCTGTCAGCTTTCCAAAATCCTGAGCCAAAACACAAGAAGAATTTGAGCTGGCTTTTGCATTCAGATAGCCCAGGAAACGTGCCCACGAGACGAAAGCAAAGCTGGGTCATGCTCTGCCCCGTTGTGCAGCAGGAGGCACGCTGCCTGGCGAGGCTGGAGCTCTGCACAGAGGCTGGGAGCTGCCACCTCCCTGTTTTTCCTGGGGCTGGACTCTGCAAGCTCCACCCCAAGCTTCCCCAAAAATAGAAACCTTGCAAAATGAGGCAAAAAGGCCAGCAGGAACACGGAGTCCTCCGAGAGATGCGAGAGCACAATGAAACCCACACCTAGACATATTTAGACATGTAGCTTTAACGCAGCCTGTAATTTTTTTTTTGAAGTTTATCCGTGTCTGCCTGGGGATGGGAGCCCTGGGAGGAGAGGAGCTTACAAGCAATGCATTCCCAGCAAACCCAGCAGTTGGCCTGGTCAGGCCGACGCTGCCAAGCGCTCCCCTCGCCTGCCAGGGGGTTGGGAGAGCATCGATAAAAGATGATTACCAGCAACAGGATTTCCATTATTAAACATATTCGTAGTAATCGAAAGGGTGTGCAAAGGAATTGTAGCTCTGCTGGAAAATTAAGGGCTACGGGATTAAAATCTAGGGAAGGAGCGAGCTGTGCCAGCACTAACTCCATTTTCAGTGTGACCTGCCCTGTGCCCTTGGGCAAAGCAACTCCTTGCTCTGTCTCGTTCTTCTCAGCTATGGAGAGGAGTAAAAATTAAGAATCCAGTACAGAAGAGGGCAGCTGCAGCATTTAAATAAATATCCCCGATGCATTTTGCACTGTGAGAGCAATGAAGGTATTCACTGCAAGCCCTAAAATGGCACCTTGAACATGACTCAAAGCGTTAAGGACTGATTCAGCCAGGAGACAGCTTTCACACTTGACATACAAATAATATGGTTGGCAAGAAGCTGCATGATCTTCACACCGAACCAGTAACTCTTCCAGCAGGAAGGCACGGGGCTCCAGCAATACAGACGTAAAGCTTAGTGGAGAGGGACACGTTTTTCCCTCACGTAGGAAACGTTGCATGTATTAACACACACGTTCCTTTACCTCCACGTTAATAAAGATGTATGGAGTAGATTGACAGGTTATAATAATTCAAATAACTCCTAGATCCTCCATTAGGTAGTTCTCCCCACAACCAACTTCTTTTTGGTTCCCCTTAAGCAACTGATGCTGGTGAACGGAAATCATACAGCTTGCTTGTACACCCCTACCACACAGCGTACACACGGGGGGGCTTCTGCTACCTAAATCGTGTGAATTGTGAACCCCAGTGGGACACGGCCTCCAAAGAAACGTCAAGCTGCAGCTTTGAGATACACAGGTCACGTTCAGACTCGTACAGAATCGACTCCCTTCGCAGGAGACGTTTCCCTTTACCTAAATCGTTGCCTTCGTCAGGGTACAAACCTGTTGCAGAAGGTTGTCCAGCAAATCCTTGTCCTGCTGAGAAAGTCCATCCTTCTGCAATCTGAGAATAAGTTCAGGTTTCTTATAAGGCTTTAGTGCCAGTAAGTGCACAACCCTATCTTTGAAGGGTCTCTGAGAAATCGCACTATTGCCTCTCTTTATTGCACTGGCAAGGTTGACTGGCGTTGGGCGCTTCCTGGAGGGAACAGCATCGGAAGCTCCTGGTGCAGGTTTACGCACCTGAACCTTTTTGCCTAAAATGAGATGAGAATAGTGAACTGCAGCAGTCACCTCGCAACGGCCAGTGGGTCGGCGGCGCGGATATGGAGCTCATCACACGAGTGCCAGGAGATGACAATGAAGGACAAACACAACCAGCACACCCCATCCGTTCCAACGCGCCGCCGGAACGGCTGTCCCGTGAGTTTTATGATTCATGACAGGCTCACAACAAGTAAACAGCAACACCAAGCTCTGGAAACCTGCACATTACTGGCCACAAGCTTACATAAAGCCCTCTTTGTTCGCTAGCTTTTCATTTATCCCAAGTGCACGTATCCCCATGCTTAATCTCACCATTTATTTATTTTTTTCCTCCCTATGAGGAGAAAATTCAGGCATTATTATGTAGGAGAGTCGAAATATGGAGTGGAAAGACCCGAAGTGGTCAACGAGCGGCTCCCTGCTGCTGATCTCAGCAAAAACGCTGCTCCAGCAGATGTTTCTGCTTTCAGAACAATGGGAACTTTATGGGGCTGGGTCCACCTCCCTTCCCCCCCGCCAAACACGAAGGGGGTCCAACCCCGACACGTTCGCCTACTCGTTAGCGTGCTGCCTGCTTGCACAGAATAACCCCTTCTGCTTCGTCGCAGTAACTGCTTCGCCTTCCAGCTACGTTTATTTGTGTGCACTTGAGGACAGAAAGCTGCCTCCCATGCTCATCTCAAGCCCTCGGAGCCAGCTTCCTCAGCTCCATCCCAAGTGTGCTTCTCGGTTTCTTACAGCATTACACAGGAATTCATTTTTCCCATTCCTATTAAAAAACAACTCCAGCTAGAATCCTCAGCCGAGTCCCACATCACTGGCTAGGGCACAAATCAGAGAACTGCACTATTTTGAACCCAGAAACGGGTCACAAAGCCAGCTTCCTGCTCCCAAAGATGACAAGAGCAAATAAATAAAAAAAAACCCCTGCGGGTCCCAAGGTCTAAAGCATGGAGCTGCAATTAGCAGCCATGGTTCACGACAGTGACCTTCAGTGGGACAAACAACGTCCAGCATTTACTGCAAAAACTCTGGAGGTTTATTTCAGCGTGGCAATTCTCCACTGCTAGGAAGCAACGTTTTCAACTGAGTCATCTGAAGATACTGGTGATTGTCTGCAGTGTTTATTTTACTGAAATGCAGATTGCATAACTGAGCCCCCATTTCCTGGCTTTTTGTTATGTACCACGCTGATGCAAGGCGGTGGGACCCGTCGTCAGCGGGGCTGAGTTAAGACGAGGGAGAAAAACAACAAATCAGACATCAAACAGCCCCAAATCCAGAGGCAGGCTGGACGTCATTTCCAGCAACGGGACACGAGAAGACTCGGAGGCTTTCTAGAACTGCCCTAACTCCTGCCAGGTCGTGAACAGCAAAAACACATTGTGACATTTCCACTTGGGGCTGGAGCCAAAATGGGCAGCGATAGGGGAAGAGAAAACTAAGCAAAGGCAGAACACCAAGTCACTTAAAATATTTATGTACCTATAGAGAGAGAAGCGTGTACACACACGTACTCAGCACATATAAGCACACGCACCCCCAGATCCCTATCTCCACACATATTCATGTCTTAGTTCACATCTACGCTGCTTTTCTCCCACCTTAAACACTGACATCTTGCACAAGCAGCACCACGCCTCCCTCCAGTGCTTTTTCCACGGCTGTGCCTCCATTTCGGAGAGGGAAAACGTTTAAGTGAGGCTATTTTTAAATGGAAAGTTTTGCTGCATCTTTCGGGGAAGCAGTTTGCCCTGAGAATCTGCCTCACGAGCCTACCAACTCGATCCACTTACTGTAAAGTTCTCAAATACAAGCTAAACGAAATCTTCTCGTCTACAGGAAATCAATGCATTTCCTTCCTGATTGCTATCTCATTTCTCAGTTTTGAGTACTTGGCTGATAAAACAATGAGTCAGGGGCAGTTCTACATTTTGCAACTCACCATCCTCATCACAGCCACCCTCTGAGAAGCGACCGGCTACAGATCACATGAAAAAACAGCTGGCTCCAAGAACTGAACTCCGCTTTCTGCTTAGTATTTATGCCCCGAGTTTGTGACCAGACTGAGGTTAAGCTAGGTCTCAGCAGGCTGCTCGTCGAGCTCACTGCCACATTTTTATTTCCTCTCCAAAGAGTTCTCCTTTCATTGTGACAATGAGATGGTTTGTTCAAGGCTACCGTCAGCAGCTCCGCTCTAATCTTTGCTGCTGAACCCAAGTGCCCTGCTATCTGCAGCCTAGATGCTGCGTGTTAAGGGCCTCAAGTGCAGGCACACGGCAGCTGTGTGACAGCAGCAGGACGTTTTAGCTGGCTTGGTTAGGAGCACAGACGCTTTAAAGCATCAGTGTGCTCCCAGCATCACCGCATGACAAATATGAACTATGCCAGAGTGATGTGACTGCGCCCAGGCAACCCTCAGAGGCCACACAACCAGCACCACACAAGTTCCAGAGGGAAGATGGAAGCCACAGAGAAGTCACAACGCAAGGAGGCTAGCGCCACAGTGAATCAGACACCCGGGAGGAACTACCAGATACTTGCTGAGGACTTTCATGGTCAAGTTGTTCACAGCAAAGCAAACGTCAGCACGACTTCAGGAGGTGAGGACAGCCGCTCACATCACGCTGCTGCTTACCTACGTATCTCCCCCCAGGTTTAATGACTATAGCGCTCCGGCTGCGAGTCTCCTCCTCTGCCTGTGCCATGCTTTGCCTTGCCTTCTGGTAGGAATCGTCAGTAGCACACACGGTGATCTTATCCTGTATGCTTCCCAGGCAATCCAATTGGATATTGCCGTTGCTGCAAGAGAAAGGCAATGGAAAAGGTACTCCCAGCACTGCGAACGGGCACGTTTCTGTCACCACTGCATAGCTGGGGTTGTGTTATCTGAGTAACAGGAGGGTACAGAAAGGTGCTGAGAGGGGTAAACAGGTTCTTCTGTGGGTGCCTGCTTACCCAAATGCATACACAAACCAAGAGATTACAAAGAAAGAAGTTTTAAAAAGAAAATGCATTCTATTTCTAAAAAGAAATGGCATTCTTTAAGTTCTGTTTAAGTTTGACAGAGAAACAACTCCACGGAAGGTAGGATAGAAATGGCTGGATTCTTTCTGACGCATCACTTACCTAGATACATACTGCTGGATGCAGTCAAAACTGCCCTGCGGGCTGTCCTTGCCGATATTGGAAAGATAAAACGTGAAAGTCCGCACTTCCGCGGGGCGGTCGGGCCTCGGAATTGCGATGTGCTGTTGGGAAGGAGAGAAATGCAGGTCATTTAGGTAGCCCACGCTGACCCAGAGTTCATCTTTTCAGCAGTCACTATGTTTTGAGCCGTTTTGGAACCCGATACAAGTAAAGCCTATGGATTACTGCACAGGAGAACATGAAGAGCAAGCTGGAAAAAAGCTACGAGGGAGATGGAAGTCAGCAAAACTGCAGGCTATAGTGCCAGAAAGGCAAAAGAGGTAGACAAAGATCAGTTTAAACAAAAAAAGGCCAAAATCTGTAACAGACCAAAGGTATGAGCTGGTGGCTCGCTGCCTTCCAAAGGCACACGATGATCTTGTTCTCGCAATCTGACCCAATTCTATTGATCTAGGCTTAAAACAGGCTTGCTACCGCTGTTTACGTTCAATTCAAAGCAGTTTGAGACTTGTTTCTTTAGCCCCGGTGATCCAGCACTAAACATAGCACAAGCCAGGTCGCTAGATAGCACGCTTATTCTTTTTTAAGAGATTATAATTCCATAACGAGATTTCAGGGCTCACTGTGGTGTGTGTGACGCTGCTGCTAAATTCAATATTTAATCAAGCATTACGTGTGCTCCGCAGACAACTCCACAGCGACCCACATTGTCTCCCCCCAGCCATTCAGCTTTAAAAGTGGTTTGTTTTTAATGTTTCCTTCTTTTCTGCGTTCGAGGTCCAACAGAAATCGTGGCACCGGAGCTCATCACATCAATATTTGATCATTAAAATGGCTTCCAGAGAACGAGGCAGAGGAAATGCTGGCTTCACCCTATTTTAGGCTACGCTCCACCGCACACGGCCGTATTTACCCAGCCTGCCACGTGGATGCCTGACACACGCACGCCTCGCAAACCCACTGGTGGCAACCACCCATGGCTGCGGGCACAGGAGGGGTTTCTGGGTGGTTTCCCTTCGATCTCAGCCATCCACAGCAGCCTGGAAACCGCGTGCATCTGTGCCACTTCCATAAAGCAGATGGATGTTCCTGGAACTGGTGAAAAACGCTGGTGAGACCCGCAGCGGGCTGGGTGGCAGCAGCTCTTCCACTCGCCCTCTGCACGGGGTGCTCTTCAACCTAGCACCCTCTTCCCCGACTCGTGGGGAAGGGATAAAACCCCGTGAGCTTCCCAGGAGAGCTGAGAGCCTGCCCAAGTTCATGGTTAGGTGAAGAGCAGGGTCTGGGTGTCCTACAGGCAGCGTCGCTCACCGCTGGTTAATTTACGGTGAGCAGGGCAAGGTGCTGAGCACAAGGGGGCTGTGCTGGTCCAGCCTTAATCCCCGGTGGGGATGAGCAAGCTGTGCTGGACACGGCAGGTTTTAAAGCCTGGAAGATGTGCAGATGTGCCATCCGGATACATTACAGGCCTGACATCCACCTCCTGATTCACCACTGTCAAAAATGGCTGCTCGGCGAGCTCCAATTCCGGCGTTTTTGCAGTGTTTCTGCAGTTTCCTCGGGCAGCTTCTCCGAAGGACGTAAAACGAGACAGAAGCAAGAGCCACATGAACGTTAAACGCTGCCTGTGCCAGTACTGAAAAGTGTAGCATATGCAAACCGGCCGTTATCTAGGAATTATTTTTAGCTGAAACAGAAGGTTTCAAGCCACCAAATCAGCATGGTAACTGCTCGCAGGGAGCCCTAATTTTGGTGCAGAGTCTTACACCAGTAACCATAGACACTTAAAAATAGCTCGGTACAGATGTGACTTATGTTTCTTCTTTCAAGTAATATTCATCTGTGTACAGCTCGCCCTGAATGGTAATTTCACCTTCCTCTATTTATACCAGCACAACTTCATCCCCAGAAACAGGGGCCGTGTAATATTTTCCAATCGCGTTCAGTTCAAAGGCTCCGTACCCAGGAGGCGTTTGTAAGAAAGCCGTACTGACCTGGCACCTGAAGGTTTCTTTTCTCCCCCGTTCAGTTCTCCTCCTCCTCCTCCCTGTCCCAGCTGCCCCCAGTAAGCACCTGCAAATTTACCCCAACCTCTTCTGTAATTCTCTGCCTGCTTTTACCAAAAAAACAAGTCGCGCACTCCAGCTCCCCCCGCTCGCAAAGCTTTGCTACCCGAGCTCTGAAAATCTCATCTACGTGCATGTTGGAACAAGCAAAGTGCTCAGGACTCTGTACAGAGCTGTAAAATTATCAAAGAAAGCCCAGTTTGTGATGGAAAGGTGGAATGAGCAGGTGCTGCTCCCAAGGAGCACCCAAGCGGTCCTGGTCCTGCCTTCGTGCTCCACGCACAACCACCGACTCCCATCGAGGTTCTGAAGCTACAGAAGTGCACCCAAAAAGTGATTAAAAAAGACTGGTGCTGCCATAAAGAAATGCTTCCCAAGGCCAGGATCCTTCGCTGAGCACAGTTTGTGGAGCCTCGGGAGCTCTGTTGCAGACTGGGATCCGTTCGGGAGGTCTCACCTCATCACAGCTGGGAAATTTGGGGTGAAGCCATCAATATCCTCCTCCAGCACCCTGCCGGTGGAGCTGCCACCTCCAACAGTAAGGAAGTACCAAAGTAAGGAAGCAGCAGCTCTTATTTTACATCCTGCTCCCCTTGGAACACCAAATGCTTGGGATTTTGTCCTTGTGCGATGGGTACTTACGCAGAGAAGTCTCCCTGCTCCAGTCTCATGTCACTGGATGCTGCCTTAAGTCACGCTCTGACATCCGTGCTAGGTACAAAAGCTAAAAACCCCCGAAGTTTAATCTGAAATCCTCTCCATAACATTTATTAGGAAGCCAAACGGGAAGGCAACACTCTGGGGAATTAAGGTACAGTGGGGGAAACGCACTGCAGGAATAACCAGCTAACCAAACGCGTTTCAAGGCGAATCCATCTGAATTTCGGAACTCGTTAAATTACTGGAATTGTCTTTTCAGCCCGACTGGTAGAAAGCTCGCTGGGAAGTATTTAAAGCCCTGCTGTTAATTCCTTAAAGCAGGGCGCAGTCTTGACATACACGAGCGCTGCACTTAAAACCAGATGGTTACACAGCTGCCAGCTTCTTGTCATCCCCTGTAAAAATAATAATAAAAGGACAAAGAGCTCTTTCTATCTGCCCCAATTGAGCTGGGGCTCGCTTTCTTCAAAGCCCTACCTTTGGCCTTTACTCGACAGTGCAATTAATTACGCAGCTGAGCGGGAGGCAGGCGGAGGTCAGCTCCAACATCTCCCTCCAGCCGCGCCGCTCCGCTCCTCCACCAGCGCCCGACTGCAGTTCTTTTCTTTTTAAACAAGGAATTGCATTTTTTTTTAAACTGTTTTTTCTTGTCCTTCACCTGGAAAAGCCCAGAAGTGCTCCAGCACCGCTAATACCGCAGCGTGGCAAACGAGGAGCACGGCAGCTGAGGGCAGCGGAGCGTTAAAGTTGTTCTGATTAATTGTGCCACTGTTTGCATCTCCTTTGAGGACGAAGATTAAGTACAAGAGGAGGCATTTCCAGCACTTAGGCAGCTCTACAGGAGAAGTCAGATCCTTCCAAGGTAGGCTGCGAAGGGGAGGCGAGGCGCTGCTGTCCTTTAGCTTCCTTATTCCAGGCAAAGCTGTTTGCTCACCTCCCGACAGTAAATCACGCCGCCCTGCCACTTCTGTCGCTCGCTTCCAATTTTACCCAGCTTCAGCTGCCGGCTGCCATCGGGACTGAGCTTTCTGGAGACTTTAATTGTAATCAGAGGGGAAAAAAACAAACTGGAAATTGTTCCTTTCTTTATTTCTCAGGTTGTACTTTTCTAAGTTGATAATAATTGTGTCTTTCCTGCTGTGTTTTGCTATGGACCAAGGAAACCAACACCACGAGAGAAAATAGGGGCAAGCCCCGTGCTTGACTTCACTGCCTACTTAACTCAAGCACTTTTCCAAGTTCTGCTGTGCCACCCCAAAAAAATCACGGAGTTATTTACAGCTGAGTTCAGATTCTTGAAAACACTGCACCCTCCTTCCTCCTGCAGAGTACCCGAAGGAACACTCACCTTTTGGTGTCTAAACGCTGTCTAAGTGACGTTATTAAAGCTCACCGAAGCATTGCGATACGAGAAAAGCTACCAATTAAATCTCACCCTTGTCAGTAACCGGCATGACAGACGGCTTCAGGCTTCTATAAATACCCTGGAGGAGCTCGGTCATCAGAGCAGAAGTTAAAGAAATAAAACTCCTAAATATAAAAAACTTTTGGTACTCACAGAAACGGCCCGGTTGTTCAGAAGCTCGAGTTAAATAAAGCCTCGGGGCATTCACAGCAGCCTCTGAGCACCACCACTGTCATCATTTGTGCCCAAAGCCTCCCACCACGTTTACCAGGCTTGGCGAGGAGTTTCCCCAGGACACAGGCGAGGTTTTAAGGGATGGCTGCCCCCACCTCACCCTTACCAGCAGTGGACTCGCAGTCTCCTCGTCCTACCCACCCTATAAAACCGAGTTTTCCCCCCAGCAGCACTTTGCAGAGCTACGGATCAAGCAAGCTGAGAAAATAAAGTGGGAGGAAAGTTCTGACAGAGCCCACGTGGTCAGGGGAATTGGAACAATTCCTTCCTCCTGGACCACGTCGGAGCTTCACATCCCTCACTTTCAGAGGTCAGAGCATCGCTCTTTGGGCTGGAGCAGGACAGAGGTACAGCACAAAGCCCGTGCTCAGATAATTGCATAAACAAGCCAGTAAAGCACTTCCCAAGGCAACCCATACACAAACTTACCCCTTGGCTCCCTTGAAACTGGATTACTGGTTTTGATGTCACAGAATCCTACAAAAACAAATAAAGGAAAAAAAAATAATTAGAGAAGTCTCAAGCTCAGCCATTCCCTGCAAACCAGCAGGCAGCTTCATTTTTTCAACTGTGTTTTTTTTTTTTAAAGGAACGAGGTTCAGAGATGGACACAACTCCGAGAGAAAACTCCCGAATTATCGATTTGTACCTAGAAAAGGGATAAAAGTGCAACGTCACCACCGGTTAAACGATTTCACTCTTGAAAGCCAGACAGCAGGAAAGCTCCGAGATCGTCTCCACCGGGCTCCTTCCCGCTCCCTGCACCTGCTTTTCGGGCAGGGAACAGACGACACGTGTGCCTCCGGTGCTTATGTAAGTTTTGAGCTGAACGGGGGATATTTGAGGGGAAAATTTCTGACAGTGCTCGCTGTGAGAACGCACCAGGCACATTTTTTCCAGGAGAAAGCTGGCAGCTCGCTGGGAAAGCAAACTGCGGCTTCGTTGCAAAACCCTGCTGCTGCGCTGCCCGTTCCAACAATCGGCCTCTTCCTCCAGGAGGATTTGCCTGCAGTTCGTGAAATCGTTCCAGTTTGCTTTAAAACCCCTTAAACGTGCTCCAGACAGAGAAACACCACCGAGTTCAGGCTTTACTTCAGGATTTTGGTCTTTCTGCAGCGCTGTGCTGTGATTTCACAAGGCTCACAACGGTTTTCCAACCCTGGCTCTTATTTGAGGTTTCACCCCCAGGGAAAGACGATCCAAGTCCCACCGAGATTTCTTTTTTTCTCCCCCCTCCCCCTTAAATTTTAGGAGAATCGGGGCTGTGTTGGTTTTATTTCCTAAACCCTGGGAAAATCCCAGTAGATGCTGAACAAAACCTGTGCCCCATGGGGCAGAAAAGCACAGTCCTGGGGGGTCCCGGGGAGACCCCCCCGAGACAGAAGGCTTTCCCAGCCTCTTGCTGTGTCTTTTAGAAGCGAACACGTTGCCACGTGTGTCGCGTTTTCATGGCAAAAACACTAAGAAGAGCTTCATGAGCTCAAAGGGAGCTGCCCCTTCTGTGGTCAGCGGTGGCAGCTCCCAAATTCTGGCACCGTCCTGGTGCCACGCGGGATCCCAAAACCTCCTGCTGGCAGAAGCAGGCATGGGGGTTAACAGCCTGAGAGCCCGCTACGTTTATCATCTCATAAAACCTTCCCAAAGGCTCTCCCAGCCCAGGACGGAAGAATCTAAGCCGCAATACGTCGACGTTAACCAAAAAGGGAAAAAAATAAAAAAAAAAATCCCCTAGCACGAAAAATCCTTCTGCCACAAATGAATGAGCTCACGCTAAGACAAAGCCTCCGGAGCCTTTTAAGAGCTCATCCCCTGCACGTGAAGAGAGCCACAGCACCCCCTGACTCCTCGCGGAATGCTTCTGCCAGCGAGCAAAGGGGGAACGTGCTCGGAGCCGACAGCACTCGCCTCGCGTTGCAAAGGCAGCTTTATTGCAACCTTTATAGAGGCCCAATAAACAACTTCTTGCTCTTCGTACAGAGATCACTGAATTCCTTGAGTGCCACGACACCGCATACCACAGCGCACTGTTCATGGACGGGCCGGCCAGCTTTTTGTTCCCGGTGTCAGCGTGCGCAGCGCCAGGCGTCCAGAAACCCACACGAGCACACGAAACGTTAAAAAAATCTGGATGGGAAATAAAAACCCGAGGAGGGATCTTGTACGGCTCGTCAGGGGCTTCGTGAAGTCCTGCGAGTCATTCTGGAAAATGACCTAAATGGGCTAGAAAGGTAACACAGCACGGCAGTATCAGGACAAGCTTTAATTACAGAACTTATAAACCCCCCCATCTACATGCTAGGTGGTTTGAAATGAAATGTGCAATCTCAAACTTAAAAATGAGAGTTTGTGCTTGATGGAAAGCTGCAGCTTTGCTTTACTGACCTCCTGAAACCAGCACTTCACCCTCCTGCACCCTGCGTGCTCGGCGGTGTCGCAGCAGGGCCGGTCCCACACGCACGCAGCCCCCTCCTGCAGGGCAGCCAGGGCAAAAGCAAACCCATGCACCCCACCCTAATCAAAGAGATTATTTTAATTTCTTCTAATAGAGCTCCCTGAATCTTTGCATGGACACCTTCACTCCTGAATGAAAGATGAATTAAGCTGAACCAAATTGGAAGTGGATTTCCATCTAGATCTGCAGCTCCTTTGGCTCAGCCTTCCCCGCAGACCAACACCACCACCAAGGAGCTCCTGCTGCCGTTCCCAAATCCCTCCACCACCTTCTGAAGAGTCACCCCGTTCCTCTTGGTGATGCCAGGCAGCCAACTCCCTCGTTTCAGCCTCCTAGAAGCTGTGGCACCATCCACTGGGGGCGAGCACGCTCCCTCCATATTTCTGTTTGTTTTTTTTTTTCCTGTTTTCCCTTCAACGCACACCAGCAGCTGCTCAGCCCCAGCTCCCGGGGCTCAGCACATCTTTGGTAAGCCAAGGACCCTGGAGAAATCTCAGCGAAGAGGCAAAACAAGGCAGAGAAATCCACCTGAGCAACCCAGCCACCTGCACAGGCTTTATTCCTCCGTGAGGCTCCCCGGGCACCTAAGAATAGCTACCGGCTGCTGAGCAGGATCAGGACGGGAGCGAGGTGACTGCTCTGAGCAAGAGACAACAGCCCTGGCCCCAAAAGCAGCTGCCAGGTACCCGCTGTGCTCCCCTGCAGCTCCAGCAGGAGGTCCAGGGGGATTTAGGGACAGCCAGGGGGGTCCAGAGGGTCCAGTTCTCTGCTTCAGGAGGTCCAGGAGCAACCAAGCACGGCTTCTGGGATGCATGGGAGCAGAGAAATGTCTGCTGAGCATGACCAGCACCTTGGTGTGCCATGAGTACACCGGGAGCGATCCAAGCCCCGTGAAGCACAGCGAGGAGCAGGAGTTGTGCCCACTGTTGTTTCAGCAAAAGGTTTCCTAGCAAGGGGGTCAAGCATCGAGCTCCCTCCCATCTTACCGTAAGAGAAAATGCAGCCTCGTGCCTTCCCAAGCTGCCAAATCCTTCCTGTAGCAGCCTTACCCACACCAAAAGCTTTTTACACCAAAAAAATGAACACTTAACACTTTTACACCAAAAAAATGAACACTCAACCCCAAAGCTCCCCCCAAACATTCGTTTTCTATCAGCACCTTGTTCTGCTCGCCCTCCTCTAGCTTCACTGGGCAAGGAGAACTCGTAAGCCCTAACTCAGGTTGGTAAAAGCCCATAAATTTAATGGGCTAGCAACTCCTCGCAGTGCAGTTCTCCAGATCTGACTCATGGAAGCTTGAGGAAGGAAGAAGGAACTAGGAAATGTCAATAAACCCCATAAAAATGGCACGTGGAGCCACCAGGATACTTTATAGGGCAGCTTGGTCTGATCATGCCGTGAGGTTTTAACCACGCCAAGGGGGAAAGCTGGACGGGCAGCTCCCACCTAGGCCCAGAAAAATAGGGCTGCATGACCCACCCCATGACTTCGGGGACTGTTCGTGGCCCTACAGAAATCCTAGAGGGGCTCGGGGCAGGCTGGCTCAGCTCAAGCAAGCAGCTGGAAACCTCCCCGTTTGTTCGGGGAAACGCAGGGAATGGAGGAACACTTTGTGGCGAGAAGTCGGGCTGTGCACTTACTGGAATCCGTCCTGGAGGCAGCGTTATATGGCAACGACGTGCCCCTACTGAGCCCCGGTGTCTGCCTGCTGCCTGGGATGCTGGAGAGTCACAAACACCCAGCAAGCAGAGGAAATGAAAGCTTGGCCCTGTTTGTGTTGGAACGAGAGGGTTCTTTGCAGAATTCAAAGCTCCTTGCAAACATTTGAAATTCGTGGCAAGAACAGCAGTAAATACACAGAGGAACGGGAAGCAGCCGGGCATTTTCAAGCGCCACACGTAGCGGGTCGCGTGGGGCTGCAGCCACACCTGAAAAGCCAGCGACGAAAATGAGAAGAAAAAAAAAAAATCCTACATTTCAGACTAGTTCATACCCCAACCCCCAAGTTCCTCCAATTCTCTGGTTACTGGTTGATGCAGAACGTGCTCTGCAGACCCAAGCACGGCTCAAAAATTCATACTGGTGCTCGCTCCTTGTTTTCAAGGCACGGCGCAGACCTGGGGACAGTCAGAGACAACCCAGGAGCGGATCCGCCCGGCGTCTCGGGGCGACAGACTCGCAGGAGACACCAGCAGAGCCCCAGAGTTCATTACGAGTGGCAAGATATAGAAACCCCCGTGGAAATAAATACCTCTGAATGCAGCCACAACAACTCCAAGCGGCTGTGCGTGCGCAGAGTTTACCGGTGCTCAATTACCAGAGCCGTCCCGGGAGGCGCCGCAGAGACAAAAGGCTTCTCCCAGGACGTTCCCCTTTCTAAGGCTTCTATTTACCTCCTACCAGAAGCCCAGCAGGTAAAAAAAAGCCTCCTGAATATTCTTTTTTATGTCCCGTCCATTACTTAGGGAATTAAAATGCCGTCTCCCTGCCATCCAGGCCTCCCCACGATCTCGTTTGAAGCCGAGGAAGCTGGCAGGCTGCAGATGGGATCAGGTCTACCGAGACTTGAAAATTACACATCCCATATAATTTCTTTTTTGACCTAAACTACAAAGCCTCCCAGACCTTTTTATGCTACACACGCCTTGGAGACAAGCTGCTGGTTTTACTAGTCAAATACCACGTTCTCTGGGAAAGTCTTGGAAATCCTATGTAAATCCAAAGCTACCGAAGCAGGAGTTGAACTTCAGAGGGGTGTCACCGGCTGCTGTGCCAACGGGGATGCTCCTGGAGGGCTCGGGGTCCCCCTGGTCCTTCTGCAGATGTTCCTGGAGGTCTCAGGGTCCCCCTGGTCCTTCTGGAGATGCAAACCCCGCCGTGCCCCAAGCAGCCTTCATGCAGGAGCGGTGCAGCACCGAGAGGTGCTGGCAGGTGAGGTCCCTGCTCCTCGGGGAGTGCTCCCCAAATTACCCAACGTTGATGTCTGCTCGCTCTTCTCCTTCCTGAAATTACCCCATTGATTACT